ATAAACAGACGTGCTGTAAAAGGTACAAATCATGTTGACATGTAGCATCTGTGCACTGGCCTCTACCAGCCCGTGTATTTAGGACGTGATGGTGGTGTGATGAAATCCAGTAAACTGTCAAAACAGTTTGTGTTTCAGTGTGCTGTCAGGAGCTGGACTGAAGAAATGTTTTGCCGACATCCTCGGCTAATATTTCTCTCCCAATAAGTGTAAAAGATATTCTGATATCAGTGTCAGTGTTGTCTCATTTCCAGAGCGACTGTAGCCGTGGAAACTCTCACTACTCTTTAGTTATTTTTAGTTGAGTTGTTTTAATATTACAATGCTAGAAGAAGAAAAAATAATAAGCGTAGCACAATGCTAGATATTGACATCAACCTTGAAAAGCTGCCGTTGCTTTGTGCACTGCCAGCAGTTCACCCATCACGGTGGTGCAGGTCTGCGTGGAAGCATGGCACTCTCACACTTCCTGCTACGCTTTTGGTCAAAACCGCTGGGTCAACCCACTTCCCTGTATTCTTCTGTCAACTCTGGGAAAAAGCTTTAATATCCTTCCTGCCTCCAAGACGCTGGCTGTGGAGGCCTTGTGAAAAGCCATCCTTGAGGGCAACTGCGCTGCGTTATGTCTCCTTCACCGCACAGTGAACTATTGTCTCCTCTGTTTGTGTCCCCAAACTCTGAGAAGAAACAAAAAGTCTTCCTGGACAGCTTCAGATGGAATAAATACTGCCTGATATCTCGCCGTTTGTTTGTTTGGCTGAAGTCCGCAGCGATACTGTAATTGTTTTGTGGTCACTGAGTTTGTTGTTTCCAGCTTTGTGCCCCGCAGCCCAGCCGCTGGAAGATTAGACTGAGTGTCGACAGCAATGTCAACATCATTGACCGTCACCCACCGACGGCGATGACTGCATTGTTTGACCCTGAGTTTATTTACATGATGCAATGATAAGAGTTGAAGCTGCATGCTGGGTTTTCTTTGTATTGTTTCAAAGGTTTAAACAGACACATCGCAGATCTGTCATGGATTCAGCTGCCCGGCTGTTTGTATAGACTGAGATAATATTGTTGTCTTAATAAAAGAATAATGTCTGAGCTTGAGTGCTTGCACACACACACACACACACACACACACACACACACTCTGGCCTGTGTAAACTCTCCCAGCGGTGTTACGTGCTGTGAACAAAGCGTCCAGAGAAATAATGCGCTGCTTGTTTTTGCTCTGAACTCACAGTTGTAGCATTAAAAGGCTGAACGCACGCACAAGAAACAGCTACATGTGTTTTCACTTATTGTGTTGAGTTAACTCCTCGTCTGGACTCTTTGCTTGATTGATTTTTTTTTTTTTCTCGTTCCAAGTTAACGCCTTTTGGGATAGATAGTAGAAGCTGGAAAGACTGTAAACCTGTGAGAAATTGAAGCTACTAAATAAGTCCATCCATCCATCATCTCTACACTTTCATCCTCAC